CGACGTGGCGTTCTTCGAGCGCCTCATGCCAGGCAGAGTCCTCACAGACCCAGAGGAACTGAAACCGTTTAACGTGGACTGGCTTAAATCAGTCCAAGGTACGTGAGCTTGGTTATTTTTTGATTCTGGTAAGACCTCTCTGGCTCTGGTCAAGTACCAGAATGAAAAGTCTGCCAGAGCGAATCCCTGTTTATTGCAGGCCACATCTTTACACACCCAAGTGAGTTTTCCTCATAGAAAATACTCCTTTGAGGTTTCCCTAACATGGTAATCTTTCAGGCTTTCATTAAAAAATAAAAATCCAAGCCCTGTTAATTTACCATTTTTTTCCTGAAAATGTTGACTCAGTGAAGTGTTGTGAATTCTCTATTGCTTCTGTCAAAAATTTCAAGAGAATATAAAACTTTTCCCCTTGTCCCCTCTGGCAACCAAGTCTATGTATACCTACAAAGTTTTTACAGTGCTTTAAAGGAAAGCCTGCTATTGAAAATGTTTGTTTGAAAAGTGGTTTAAATGCTTCTGCCTCACAGTGGAGGGAGCCTTGTTATTTTGGGGGTCAGGCTTTACCCCCTTTTTCTTTGTGACCTTTGTAGAGCTCACAACTTGCCTTGAGAGTCCCTTGCTTTCCTTGCAGGCTGTAGCAAGTTGCTGTTGAAGCCACAGACAACAGCAGAGGTGTCTCAAGTTCTCAGGTAACGTGCACCTTTCCTGCTGGGCTTTGTGGTGAGAAAACTCAGATTTAGTCAGGGAGGATCCAGCAGGTGAAGGGAACTTGTAGATGTTCAGCCACTAGTTGCTTAAGCACTGGAATTGCTGAAGCTGTTTCCTTCTTGGCTGCGTGTCTTGAGGTTGAGTTCTGGTGCTTTCAGCTTTCCCTTCTGCTTTTTATACCCCTGCTGCTCACTGATGATGTCATGTCAGCATCAGGCAGAAACAAAGGCCAAACTTGCATTTGTTTTACAAAATTCATCTTCCTTAGCCAGTTGTACTTGGAAAGGCTGAGTGGGCAGCAGCAGACTCCTCAAATTCATTTATATGGCTTTGGGTAGAAGGATCTTAACAGTGCTTAGTGTGGAGAAGTGGAGGGAGACAGAGGTAAGCAAGTGAATTCAGTGATGGATGACTTTTCTACTCAAAATTAGACACTAGTGCTCAAGAGGAGTGGTTGTGCTGAAGGATTCAGGAGGGTCTGTCTGAAGAGGTAAAGAAGGTCAGGCCAGAATCAGGCAGTTTGAGGAGCCAATATCTTGTCCACTAAATCAGTCAGAACACTTCTCTGGTTGGCTAGTGTGAGGGCAGCTCCAGTTTGGCATCAGGACTGCAGATTGGCTGAAGAACTAAAAGCTGCATGGAGCTGCCTGTAGCTCCCTTAAAACAGCCAGAATAGGGCACAGTGAAGTGAGGGCTTCTCAGTGACTGCTGCTGGAGGTGTGGCCTTGTGCCATCACTGGTGCAAGAGCTTGTGCAGGTTTGGAGAGGGTGTGATGAGTGGGGCTTTGCAGGGGTATGGCAGGCTGGAAGGTGATGCAGCTGAGGCACAGATGCACTTGCCTCACTGCCTAGAGGGCATTAATTCCTTGAGAGGAGGAGGAGGAGGGTAGTAATGTCTCAAATGTCTCAATCCACTGCCAGAGATGTACATCAGAGCCCACTGAGGAGGCCAAGCTGTTCACAGAGAGCACTGAATGAACAGAGCAAGTGCTGCTCTGCAGGCAGATGCTGCATGGCAGAGCTGTGGGCGTGCACAGGGGTAACCCCAAGTGTTGGATCCTTGGCTGGGTGCTGGGGTGAGTTCAGGAAGGAGTTGTGCTTTCTCACTTCTGCCCCAAAGCTGTCCCTTTGCAGGGGTTTAATCTTTAGGCTAAACACTGCTTGGTTTTAGGGAGCATTGAGCACTCTTGCAGCAGCTGACGTTCCTTTGGAGGTGAAGCTCTTCTGATAGACTGGATTAGGGCCTTAAAAGGCATAAGACTTAGAAAACCTTTTTCTTCTAGGTACTGCTATGAGAAGAACCTGGCAGTGAACCCCCAGGGAGGTAACACAGGCCTTGTTGGGGGCAGCGTCCCGGTCTTTGATGAGATCATTCTCTCCACTCTTCTCATGAACCAGATCATCAGCTTTGACAAGGTGTCTGGTAAATATCAGAGGCACAGAAGTGAGCCCCAGACCCTAAACCAGCCGTTTTCCTGGGAACCAATAGCTGCAGGATAAGCAGGGTTCAGCCCAGCAGCCTCATAAGGGGCATCAGAGGTTGGTTGTGCCCAGGCTTCTGCTGCTGACATAATCCTTAGGTTGTAGCAGTGGCAGATAGAAAAGCACATCTGGTGGCAGAAAGAGGAAGAGAGAGAAGAGAAGCAATGTTGTCATATTATCTGTCCATAAATTAAATTAGAAACCCAGGAGGTGTAGCAGAATGACAGTGTTGAGGAAGGCACCTGATAACTACACTAGCAGAAGGAAGGGAAGGGATGGGGGAAACTTGGACATTGTTTGGATTTGGAGTTAGGAATCAGACTGGTTTGAGTCTGATTTCAGTGAGAGAGAACAACAGGCAGAGATCTACTTAATGCCATTGTGTTCTGTCAGTCCAGAGTTGTGGGTGACCAGGGGTTAGAGGCAATGGCAAAGCTCCCCTAGGCTTCAGGAGGGGTGACTTCTTGTGCATTTAAACTGAATCCTGGAAAGTTTTGGAAGAAGAGGTGCTTGCATCTGCTTGTTCTTCTCCCACCTCTTGGAACCTCCTTCTGGGCCATCAGCCTGTAGCAGGACGTTTATGTTTCAGGCATCCTCGTGTGCCAAGCTGGCTGCATCTTGGAGAAACTCAACGAGTACTTGGAGGAGCAGGGGTTTATCATGCCTCTTGACCTGGGAGCCAAAGGGAGCTGTCACATTGGGGGTAACGTGGCCACAAATGCTGGAGGGTTGAGGCTCCTGAGGTACGGCTCTCTGCGGGGGACAGTGCTAGGGCTGGAAGTGGTAAGGCCAGTACCTGGCAGCTCCCTTCTGTGTTTCAACCTCTGCTCCTTGCTGTTTCCTGCTGCTCCAGCCCTTTGCATTATGCAGACGAGTTCCCCTCCAGGCTTCCACCCATCACTTTTCTTTGTGTGGCTCTTTTGAGAAGGATATTTTTGTAATATGTGTTAGTGCTACAACAGTTTGCAGCTTCTACCTCTGTCCTTGCTGACAGAAGTGGTACTAGGAGGCTTTCTAATCCAAAGAAGTGAAAAGAAGGTAGGGGGAGGCTTGGTGATCCCAGATTACCTGCGTGAGGTTGGTTCCTCTGGAGCACTCTGCTAAGTCCATCCTACAGCACTCTCCTAGAGGCTTCTCACCTGACTTTTAACAGAGCCACCTGCTTTGGGTCTGTTTGGCTGCTGGCATTCTCCAAGAGTCTTTGCTGCTCCTCAGCCTGCTTCTGCCTCCAGGCCTGTGCCTCTGTGTGTAAAGGCTGGGATTAGTGGTTCTGAAAGATCTGGGGGGTTGGGAGCAGAGAGCCAATAGGAAATAAATTGACTAGGTCACAAAAGTCTGGTTTGGGTTTATTGTGTAGGGTTAACTATTTTCACTGTTTGAAATAGTGTTCCTTGCTCCTGTTGGATAATGGGAGCTGAGGCTGCAAAATAATGGGGTGGAATAGAGGGGTGGAAGAGCTGGGAATGGAGAAACAGTGACAAGACTGTGGGAAGAGGCTGCAGCTGGTGTCCACTGCTCAAGGCTAGTGGCCAACCTTTCATCAGCTTGGCAGTAGACAGGCTTAGGGCAGGAGATTCCTATGTGGGTGCTTTGAGGGGGTGTGTGTGTTCTCCTAGGTGCTGGCTGATGGCTCAGCTCTGGACTGCTTGGCCTCTCTGCGCAAAGACAACACTGGCTATGACCTGAAGCAGCTTTTCATTGGATCTGAGGGGACCCTGGGAGTCATCACTGCTGTCTCCATCCTCTGTCCTCAGAAACCTAAGGCTGTGAATCTGGCATTCCTAGGTAGGAGGCAATGCTAATGATTTCAGAGCTGAACTCAGAGGCTGGCAAAGGGGATAGGGGTGGAGAGAGGAAAGCACTGCTCAGCCTGCTGCCAGCATCAGCTTGGTTCTGAGAGGTAGTGGGGTGCTGCACATTAAAATACCTGGGCAGATATTTTATATCTGTCTTATAAATCTGTAAAACACCTGCAAGGGCAGGTTACTTTGCAGGGGAAGGGGAGGGAGTTGCTTAGCAGGGTGGAGAGGCTGGCAGGGCAGTGCCACTGTTGAGGGCATGGTCTGACAGAGCAAAGTGAGCAGGGCAAGTCTGGTGACTTGCAGAGGCAGCTGCAATGGAGTGGTCACAGGTTGAGTCCCTGGTGACAAGGCAAGGCTGGGAAGTGAAGTCTGCAGGTTAGGGTCTGGATCAGCAGGGTGCAAGGCCAGGCACAGCTGCTTAAAAGCTGCTTCTGAGTGAGCCTCAGCAGGGATGTACCTGCTGAGGCTTTTTAACAGCTGTTTGTGAGGAGCTGTCAATGAAACTGTTGGGTTTTTTCTCAAAAACCTCTAAGGCCAGCAGGGTCTTCCCAGACAGCTTGCTTATGTCAGCTCTGGGCTTGGGAGCAGAGAGCTGAACTCCTAGGATGGGAGGAGTAGCTCCAAGGACTGACAGACCTGTGGAATGTGTGCACTGGACCCCAGAGTTTGCCTGAACTCTCACAGTGACCTTTAAATTTCTCTTGAGTTGCCTTCTTGCCTGTGCTGAGCACTGAGGGTAAGGCAGATGTTTTAGTATGAACTGCCTTAGAGTGTTGAAGAGGTCCTTGCCACAGCACAGGCTAATTGCTCTATCTTCCTGCTGTTCTGCTCTGAAACCTTTCCCAACTCAAGCCATTACAGAAACTGCTGATCTAAACCCACACAGGGTGGCAGTTTACATTTTGCTGGCCATGGGAAAGGTGACTCAAAGCATGATAGATTTCTAAAAACTTTTTACAAGGTATTGGGGGCCTGTTTTTTGTTTTTGATTGCTCTCTGTGTTCTGTCTGAAGGGTGTCAGAGTTTCACCAAGGTGCTGGAAACATTTACAACCAGCAGAGCCATGCTGGGAGAGATCATGTCTGCCTGTGAGTTCATGGATGAGAAGTGCATGGAGTTGGTGGAGAGACACCTCAAGCTGTCCAACCCAGTGACAGGTACCAACCAGTGTCATGCCTGCTGTAGAAGGAGGCATTGTGAGAATCTGGGCAGTAGAGTGACCTCATGAACTGTGCCACACTTGGGAAAAGTTCCAGAACTTACACTCAATTCCTGTCCTTTTGCCCCAGAACATCTGCTTAGTCTGTTCTCTCTCACTTTCAGGCAGCCCTTTTTATGTTTTAATTGAAACCTCAGGCTCCAACTCAAGCCATGATGAAGAAAAATTGAACAGCTTCCTAGAACAGGCCATGACTTCTGGTTTGGTCACTGATGGAACTGTGGCAACGGATGATAAGAAAATAAAGGCAAGTCATTGTTTCCTCTTGTGCAAATCTCTTTGACACTATCCTCTGCTTTTAATGGGGAAATGTTGAGACTGGTGTTTGCTAAAAATGTCCCTGAGTGATCTGGTAGCTTACTTGGCATGTTGAGTAAGAATGCTAAGAGAATACTTCCTAGACTCTTCCTAGAAGGCCTATTTGCAGTTTCAGTGGGTGCTTCTCCTTTTAAAAAGATGAGAATAATGAATTGCATCTTACAGTAGCTGCTGGATAAGGATCCAAACTACCTGAAAACTTAGCAAAACCAGAAACTTAGTTGTCACTGAGACCAGGAGTAAGCAAAGCCCCATAGGCCAGTGTGACAAGGTGTTAGAGCCAGAAACTGTGGTCTCAGGGAGCCAGCCAGACACACAGGGTCTCAGGGAGAAGGACAGTGATTGGAGTACTGTCAAGCTTGAAGAGCTGGTGGATCATTTCACTGGAGAGTGCTGCCAAGGAAGCAGTATTACTACCTCCCAAGAGGCAGTGGAGGGAAATCAGAAGGTGCTGTGCTATGCAAAGAGCCAAGGCTCATCCCCTCTCCCACAAAGCATGGAACCAAAGAGCTGTGTGGTTTATCTGGAGTTCTTGACTCCTCAGATGCTGTGGAGCCTGCGGGAGAGGATCACAGAGGCTCTCACCCACGATGGCTACGTCTACAAATACGACATCTCCCTCCCTGTGGGGAAGCTCTACGAGCTGGTCACCCACACGAGGGCACGGCTGGGGCAGAGTGCCAAAAACGTGGTGGGCTACGGGCACCTGGGTAAGTGTGGGTGCTGGGAGAGGGGCAGGTTGCTCTTTCGTCCTCTGAGTTTTGCTGGGCGACTTTCCAGGAGTTTTTAGAGGTTGTTTTTAGATGGGAGGCATAGAGTGAGTAGCCAAGAGCTGCCAGAAGAGGAGTGTGCACAAGGATAATTGTGTTTGAATCTCTTTGCTTTCAGGCTGTGTTTCCTATATCAATGGCAGGTTGCTAGCTGGCCACCCACTGGTGATTTATATCCTCTTATTCTGTACTTTAAGTATGTAGGTTTTTAATTGCACCATCAGTTTAATGAATGTACTTAGACTCCTTTGGTAGATAAACACTTTCTTGTCCAAAGTGATTAGTTGTATTGGAAATCAATCTGTCTGAGCCATTAACCTTCCAAAAGAGGGTAGCACAGTAAGACCAGTACTTTTGCCAGAATGCTTTGAAACTGGTTTGATTTTACAATCTGGTAGCTTAGCAGAGCTGTTCTGTTTAGAAAGGAGAAGAAAAAAAGAACAGAGCACTCTGCAGCACACTTGATTTGAAAGACAGGGAAGGACAAGTCTGCCTAGCAAAGGCAACTTCTGGTAGTGAGGGTTTAACTGTGTGCTGTGAGGTTTTGAGGGGATGCAGGAAGAGCTTCTCAGTGAAGGATGAGTAAGTTGTGTTTATCTCTTGTGTGTTTTGTTTTATGAATACCCAGCAACTCTGTGCTTCATCAAGTACCATCACATGCAAGTGGCAAGAGGAGAAAATGTTCTGCTTGCTTTGTTTCTGTTGACACGGTGCCAAAGTGCCTTTAGTGGATTGCACAAACATAACGGGGAGGGAGAAAGTGATGAAGGGCTGTGTTAAAGTCTGTGCTCATTATGAAATACCACTGGGGAAGTCTTTGGCATGCCATCTTGCTAGCAGGACAGCAATTATTGCAGCAGAGTTTGAATGTTAAGACCAGAAGAGTGGGAATTTGAAAGCAGCTTCACTCAGAGCACTTCCTCAAGTACTGTACTGAAAACATGGGAGAACAAAGATCCTGTTTGAGTTATTGGTGCGTGGAGAGGCTGATGTTTTTGGAAGGACAGTGAGCTGTCCTTCTGCACAATCTGGAGACTAACAAAGGCATCCTTGTTTGAGTACAGGGAGGAAGCAGTAACGAGCCTGCATTGCAGGGCCATGGAGTTTTTCTGACAGACCCACCTCTGCAATGTTCTCTTCCAGGAGATGGGAACTTGCACTTGAACATCACAGCAGAGTCCTACAGCCATTCTCTGCTGGGTGCCCTCGAGCCCTTCGTGTACGAGTGGACTGCAAGGTGCAGTGGCAGCATCAGTGCAGAGCACGGCCTGGGCTTCAAGAAGAAGCAGTTCATTCACTACAGCAAACCTGAGGAGGCAGTCTGTCTGATGCAGCGTTTCAAAGCCATGTTAGACCCCAAAGGGATCCTCAACCCCTACAAGGTGCTGCCCTCCAGTTCCTGAGAGGTGAGCAGATGCCATCACAGGAGGATGCTGTCTCTGCCTCCATACCTGCACTTCAGCCATGAACGAGCTGATGGATCAAGCAAGCACATGGAATGCTCCTCCTTTTATTTCTGTAGTGTGATGGAACAAGTAAAGGAATGTGGTTCCTGTCTGGAGGAGTGCCTGCTCTTTCTGAAGAACATGTTGCTGGGTTTGACTGTGTGGGTTCCCTATTTAATCTGAACACTGAAACCAACCATACAGATGCTGTGTGTGGATATTCCAGCTCTTTCCCCTTAGCTTGCTCTGATTTCTTAGTGAAGGGAAAGCTTTTTCTCACCTGAGGTGCACAAGTGAACATCAGAGGCACAAGAGAAGAACCTGTGGATGCTGTACCACCATCTCCAAGTGAAAATTTTGCTCTTTCTCACTTCTTTTCATCTAATACACTTGACCAAAAGCTGACAACAGCATCAGGTTATGGCCTCCTTAGTGATGCCACCTGCAGGCTGTCCCCAGGAGGGACCAGTGTTGTCCCCCCCACAGCACAAGGGTATGAGGTGCCCCCTTACCTGGTGGAGGTGGCTCTGAGGTTCCCCAGCCACTGGGCAGACTGGTGCCCACATCCAGCACCCTGCTCAAGTTGGAGAGGCCACAGAACTGTTCAGGCACCTGTTACCCAAAAGCAACCTGGTATATCTGGCAATAGTCAGGACAGTAAAAGAGCAGGAAAACAAAATCAGCCTATTTGGCATTCAGGACTGGGAGGGAAAGATGCATTACAAAAAACAGACTCAAGCAGGAGGGCAAGACAAAGAAGATGGTGGTGCAGGAAAGTTATTAGAAGTCAGTGGAAGATCTAAAGGAAGAGGAGGGTGATCTTATATTTAAAGTATGCTGATTTCACTCGTGTTCATTCTCTGATCACTTTTGCACACCCTCTCACAAGCATGTGTCCCTGGTGCTGCATATCTGGATGGTCTGGCCACAGACACTTGTGGGAGGATAAGCAATGTTGCCACGTGTCTTTTATACCTCTCAGGACTCACTGCTTATTATGGAACATCTTTTTTGATTTGGGATCTTCCTTGATCCTTAGCAAATCCCAGGCACTGTCTCTGTTTTCTCAGCTTCTGTATTTTTTTAGTAAAGATTTTAGTAAGGCTTTTGATAGTGTCCCTCACAGCATCCTCTTGGAGAAGCTGTCCAGCTGGAGGTGAGCAGTTTCATGGTGTGCTGGGTGAAGAACTGGCTGAAGGGCAGAGCTCAAACGTAGTGAATGGGGCTACATTCCTTTCTCTTTTTCCCCCCCCAAACCACTGACCATAACAGTTTAAAATACAAGCTTTTACATATGAATGGTTCTTTTTGGGAAGCAGAACTTTCCATACTGCTTTTTTTCAGCTACATTTGGAGAGAGTGCTAGGGAGGGAGTCAGGGCTGACAGAACAACCTAGTGCCATGGCCAGGGAGATTCTGGCACATCTACCTTGAGCCACCTTGTTTACACATGAAGGTCTGTAAAGTCAGTGTAAGTTTACCATTTCAGCTAAACAGAGCAATTACCCTGAGGGAGTAAGAGGAAGGAGTTATAGAATTATTTTATAGTATCTTTCCCAGCCCTTAGACACCAGTATTATCCTTCTCTTCCGTGTTCTCTGTGATGCTTTCAAATACTGGTTCACTGTTGTATATAGGAGGAAGAGACAGGGTGAGTACATACATGGGGAGGGTAGGGGGGCCATTTTTATAAAGAGTCATTGTAGTAGGAATTTCTTGTCCTAAATTCTATTTTTTTTTTTCTGGGACAAGCTTAAAGATCAGAATGATGTGGATGTGGATGCTCAACACTTTGAAACACCAGAGTCAGATGAGGAAGCACTTTGTACTTTCCTGGAGACACCCAAACACCTGCAGTGTTGAATTCCTTCTGCTCTCTTTGCACACACAGCTTTTACTTCACCTATTAAACTGCCTCTAGCTCAGCCTGTCAGTTTTTGCACTTCTTCCCTTCTGATCTTCCCCCCCATCCTGCTGCCAGGGCGTGAGCAAGGAGCTGCGTGGGGCTGGGATGCCCCACAGTGCTGTCCCCAGGCAAGCAGGCACAGGGAGTGGAGGCAGTATGGAGCTATGAATTCAGCATCCTGCCCTGGCTAACTAATTCTGCATGATTTACTGCATAATTCTGACCTACCTCCACTGGTTCCAGCCTCAGAGCAGCCCAGCCCCACATGAAGAGAAGTCTTTCTGCACGCCA